GCGATACGTTTTCGGGGTTTTTCACTGCAAACGCATTACAACTACTCGTGTATGTGAGTAGTAAAAAGAAAAGTTATCTGACATTCCACACTTTATGGAAGTGTATTCGTAGGGATCACAATCGGGAACAGGACAAAAATAAATTTGAGGTTAGTGTGATAAAAAAATACAACGCACGATGCTCATTCCCATTATGGACTCTAAAGGTGCTTAATGTTCCACCCTAAACACATCCATTTATTGCAGACAATCCCTAGGAGTGAGTAGAGCGCAAAGGCAGTTTATTAAACTGAAAGAACCGCTCATTTTTACGTTGTTAAAATTACTTCACAACCGAATGCTTACCGGAGGCAGAGGATAAGATGGGTAGCCCCGAGCTCCAGTTCGCTGTCTACCTTGAATTGTTCCCATTGTAGCGAACTGTTTGTGGAGCGTGCTGCTCACTGTTTTGCAATACGAGTTCTAGAGAACCCAGTTATCAGGAGTATATATACGATGTGGTGCACCACTATGCCTCAGATCTTATTGGATTTGGCAATCAGCTTGTTTAGCTCTTTTCAATACCGTTCTATTCCGGGAATACCGTAAAATAAATGTGAGTCCCATTTCCATTGTTGACCATTCGAGGTCATACTTCATATTCTTATATTCAAACTCTCCCAACCCACGATTGTCTCTCCAAGAATCCAAATCCCAGAATCCCAATGATGATCAACTGTCTTCGGTGTACGGACAACCACATTCGACCACCGATCTGGCTGGGATTTGGCTTGGTTTTCTCCGTTTCTATCTGTTCGATTTTCAACGGTCCAAATGCGCGGTTAATATTGTCCGAACCCATCCGATGCTTCACAAAGGGGAAGGTGTATCTTCGTCTGCTCTGGTGGTTATTGGTGAGTCATTAACCCTGACAACTTGGAGCCTACGTCCCTGGCAACATTTCGAAATGATTGTGTTCCTAACACTCCATTTTTCTAATTCCTTGCTTTCGCCATTGCTGCACACGCACCCTCTCCTTTCTCAGTGAACCAAATAATCGCTTCAATGCACATGCTAAGCCGATCGAATGACTACGAAGTATAAATTATATAACTCATATCGGTAATCACAGAAAGGTTAGCCTAACCCTGATTTTTATTTTTCTATACAGATGTTGACCAAACTCGTGCAACATCACCCTCATTTTGGGAATCCATTTCAGCTAGCAATATCGTGCTTATACATAGATGACTATGAGTAAAGTGTATTTATTCCTGACTTCATCTCCCACGTCTACATATGTCCCTAGTTCCATTCCATCACCGTTTGAATTTGCGCAACCTTGAGTGTCGCGATAAAATTTGTATTAGTTCGAAAGTTACAGCTCTGATTTGAAAAATATTTTAGGTCAGTCAGCATGCGAGTTCATTCTTTTTAATAAATGATTCCTGTCCCATGAGAGTGTTTAATAGGATGAGTACACGTATTCTAAATTTTTTATCTCTTCATTCAGTGCACAGTAAATAAGCAAATTAATGAAAATATTGTAGCTTAAATAAATTCATGAATTTTTGGCTACAAACTGCTTACGCATTATCCACAATACTAAAAGAACTGAAAACAGTCCAAGAAACATACAAGTTGATCTTCGAAAGTTAACCTTGAGGTGTGCGGCTCGTTGAATAAGCGTCCTGTAGTGTCACCATGCCCAAACCGCATGAAACATTCAAAAGGTTTTGGCATATGATAAAGTTTCAGTTTCACTTTCAGTTTTACAACCATTAACCATGCTCTTTCGTGCGCGGGTTTTGGTTGCTGTCTTTTGGTTGCCCATTTGGATAAAATAGCGAAATGAAAATTAAAATGTCGAAGCAAATTCAAGCGGAAGATGGGTAATACATATAGAGTGAAATGACGACAACATATAGTGTGTTAGGAAAATAACGAGTGAATGCACGAGCGCCACTGTTTGCGACACCCAGCCATATCACTCAGTGTCTCTAACCATCGGTG